GCGACGGAACGCATCGGGCCATCCGTGGTCGCGAAACACCTGTCTGAGGAACTGAATGTCCAACTCGGTCCCGAAGCGAGTGGGTCGATCCCATTGGGGCGGCTTCTGCGCCATCACCTCTTCCTCGGAAATTCTTCTCGTCGTCTCGGCCACCTGCCAAAGCTCGACGCCCTCCTCCTCGGCGCTCTTTGCAGTGTACAGCAATGTACTACGACCGGCAAGCGAGATGATGTGCATTTTCTTGTACCTTTCGACCGTCTCATCGAAGAACTCCTTGACATCCTGCACGCCATCATCGCCCCAGTGCAAAGTCAGGGCTTGCACTTCTCCATGCACCGCGTCGAATACCCACTCTCGACAGGGGCCGTCCGCATCTGAGCGACCATCGGCAACGAGGAAACACATCCTGGGCTGGACTGGCGACCCGTCACGCCAGAACTCAACCATGAGCGGCTCGCGCCAGTCCTCCTTGGCAAAGACGTCGGGCTTCATTGTGGTGTAATCGATGAGGCAACACTCGTAGTCGACGCTGACATATTCTCCCGACTCAAAGTACGGCAGGTGGCGGAGGATGTCCAGGGCGAATCCGTCTTTCCAGTGGCCCACATGTTCTGGTGCCAGTTGGGGCCACCCGGTGGGCGGCGGGAACTTGAGACGCGCCGGGTCGTGATGCAGTTTGGCAAGAGACTGGTAAAACTCGGTGAATATGGCGACAATCTCGTCAACGCTGTAAGGGAACCGATCATCTTCCTCCTCCTCCTCGTCAAATTCATCCAAATCGTCCTGATTTCCGGCATCTTCGTCTTCGTCGATTGACGTTTGCGATTCGACCTCTACCCCAGGCGTTGTTTCGCGGGAGGTCGGCTGTGAGTCCCCATCGTGGGACTGCTGGGTCGCGTCCTGGGAGCTCATTCTGGCGGTACGGTCAAAGAATCCAGTAAAAGCGTCAGGACATAGAATTTGGGCTGGAGAGGGCGGTGTTTTATTAACATAGCAACGAGGATGGAACGCTGGGCCCCTGAAACTTGACGACTGCGCCGCTCGACTGCCAAGAAGCGAGATGATACAGCACCCCGGCGCCAATAGGGGCAATCCGCGTTGCGTCTTTCACGGGCGGGTCCGTGTTACTGTTACCGGCCATCAGGTGCGTCGTCTTCCGCTTTCGGTCATGGAACTCCGGAACGTGTGATTCGGCCATTTTCACATCGCCCAAGTTTCCTTCAGCAAGTGTGCAGCAACTCTGAGGATGATTCTTGCGCAACCCAGCCACATTCACCCTGAATGCGACAAACTACGCCCGCCTTCCACTCCCTGCGTACCGAGTAACCAGCGGCATCTTTCCAATCCACCTCTCCTTGCCATCTTCCACGGCATCCACCAGCCACCTCGCCAGCGCCCCCCTTTTCTGCGAAAGTGACCACCCCTTCTCACCGACAAACCCTTCAAAGACCTCACCATCCTCCCGATCTGCCTTCCAACTTGCCTCGTCACTTCCTCCAGGGATCCCCGCGATTCGATAGATGGTCCAGTCAATCCCGCTCCCAGCCTCCTTTGCAAAAAGCTCACCAACCTGGGTAATGGTCGCATACGCCGAGTTGGCGACGGCACGGACCAAGCCGACGACCATTAGCCGAGAGATGGAGAAGGCGTCGCCTTCGGCGGGGATGGAGATGGTTCCCATGGCAAATATGCGGCGCACGCCGTGGGTGCGCATCAAGGGGAAGAGGGCCCGGTAGAAGTCTAGGAAGGTCGCGGGTTTGGTGTTGAAGATGCTGTTGGGCCCCAGGAGGGAGATGACGGCGGTGCAGCGCGAGACAGCTGTTTCGAGAGCAGCATTGTCTGTTAGCTCGCCTTTGATGGTCTGAGTGTGTTAGCTTTGTGCGCCTTCGCCGAGAAACCTGGCGCTGCGAAACGTGGTAGAAGTGGCGATGTCGTTGCCGGAGATGGGGGAGGAGGGTTAGGGTCGTAGAAAGGGGCAATAATGGCGAACTCACTTCCAGCAGGGGGTTTTGGGCCAACTCTTCTGGGATCTTGGCAGGGTTCCGGGCAAAGACGATGGTTTCGTGCTCGCGAAAGAGCAGCTCCCGGAGCAGGCAGATTCCCGCCGGGCCGGTGCCGCCGAAAACGAGGATTTTGCCCTTCGCCATGTTGTCCTCGGCCTTGGGATGTAATGATCACGTCAACGATGGCCAATGATACTGGGGGCAGAGGTCGTGGGAAAAGGATTGAGTTTTATGCAAGCCAGGTCCTGGTAGCCGCTGACAAAGCCAGGTCCCTCCCGGAAGCATTCTGCGCCTTCTTATGCTTGGCAGCGGGGGTTTCTCTCGCCCGAGACCCCGCCTCCGCCCACACCATCGGGGATTGGGTCACGCAAGATGGGAAACGGCTCGGAAACCACCGTCACGGCTGAAATCCAGTTGTGCTCTGTGTGCTACAGCTTCGACCAGAAAACACTCGAGGCTCGTAAAAAACTGGACCACACGTTACCATGCGCTCGACTCTTCGAATCCGCTCGCAGTGGCTGCAAGACGTGCCAAATCCTGGAAAATGCCATTTTGGGGTTTTATCGGGTTGAAGCCACCACCACGCACACTTGGTTTGGATGGTTCGTGGGAAGTATCTACATTTCAGGGCGAACCCCTGCCGAGAGGCCAGCGGACCCTGAAGTGGGCAAGGACAGCGCCATCAACATCAAGCTGTTCCGAAAGTACAAGGCGCCTTGTCCGTGGGAGTTCTTTCACGAGGAACACATCATTGCCGCTCACAGCCTCTGCGAGGGTATCAAGGCTTGGATTGTGGACAAGATGGAGCGCTGTCTTGCAAGCCATGCTGAGTGCAACGCTGGGATGGACGGTGCTTCGATGCCGACCCGTGTGCTCGACGTTGGCTTCAGCTCGGTTGATGACGACCCTGTCAAGGTTTTGGAAACTGATGGACCCCAAGGACGGATACAGGGACGATATCTGGCACTTAGCCATTGCTGGGGCGACCCAAACCTCATGTCCACCAAACTTACCGCCGACACCATCGAGGAATACAAGAAGAGAATCCCCTACGCTTCCCTCCCCCGAACCTTCCACGACGCAGTCCTGGTCGCCCGAAAGCTGGGATTCCAGTACCTCTGGATTGACTCCCTCCGCATCATACAGTCCGATGGCAGCCCCGACACTACCCTTTCGGACCAAGACTGGGGACGCGAAACCTCCCGCATGAGCCAAGTTTACCGTAACGCCCACCTCACCCTCAACGCCCCAACCTCCACCTCGTGCCACGGCGGCCTCCTCTTCGACACCAAGTCCATCGACATCTCCGTACCCGGCGCCGGTGGCCCGGGTACCGACCCCTTCGAGATCTTCGCCCGCAAACGCACGAAAGACCAACAATCCGATTGGCCGCTCATAACCCCCGGCTGGGCCGCCCAGGAGTACTTCCTCGCCCCGCGCACCCTCGTCTTCACCGACACCGAACTCGTCTGGCGCTGCCGCAAGGCCCACGCGTGCCAATGCCAGAGCGGTCCCGGCCCTGCTATCCTCGTTCCCTGGGAATACAACAAGCTCCTCGAGCCGTCGGTCCGCAATCCCTCGAGGCCGGCTATTTATAGTCCGTGGATTTCGCTATTTCTAATCCGTTTCAATTCTTTTCGGGAAGGGGGTCCATACCGTGAAATCGGTAATATTACAAAACGTAAACCTGGGCGCGAAAACACGACTTTTCCATACAGACCCCCCCCCTTAGTCATAGCGCCCCGGCCTATAATAACGACCGCTACATCAACACCACAACGAAGGTTTAATAATTAAGGTTATTACGGGCTTGTTTAATTGCTAAAATCGGTATAGATTAGTGTTTTAAACGCTGTGGATATGAAAAATGGAAGCCGTAAAGTCGTAGAAAAGAATGTCTTAATTTTACATTAGTTTACCCCTGATTACCCCTAATGTATGGAAAAGTGTGGATATAGCTGGCCGAATCGAAGGTTTTTATGTTTTATGTGCTGTACCGCCTGAAATTACCTTGCTTTATAACGGACTAGGAATAGCGAAATCTGCGGACTACAAATAGCCGGCCTCCAATCCCTCGCGCTGGGATCTCGCTCGGCTTTGGTAAGTCCACATTCACAGCTACTCGCGCGCGTCCCTGACCTACCAAACGGACAAACTCGCTGCCGTGGACGGAATCGCGCAGTACATGCGTCCCTTGCGCAGTGCGGACTGTATCACAGGCATGTGGACGGATACGTTTGTGCTTGTTTCGCTGTGGCACATGAGCCACCGTACCACCAGGACGAGATACCGGACTGCGGAGCCAGATATGACGAGGCTTCGTCCGGTTTGGAGCGTGGGGGATAGCTTGTTCCCGACGTACAGCTGGGCTTCGGTGCCGTATGCGGTTACTTGGGTGCCGGATGTCATGTATCCGGATCCCCAATGATAACCCGTTACCGCAGGATAGTCATCTTACAATTTTGAGGGAGGAGATGGTGGGCAGACCGCCGGGTGAGGTTGTGATGAGGGGGAGGTTAGTGCGCAGTACGGTGGCGGAGGTGAGGAGGTATTGTCATTTTGACTGCGAGGGTGAGCCGGAGGATGACGTTGAGGTGTGCTGTTTGAGGCTGGTGTGCATAGGGGATGATTACTTCTCGCTGGCTTTGCGGCGGAAAGAAGAGGGAAGGGAGGTGTTTGAGAGATTGGGGTTGCTTTGGGGGAGCAAGAGGGAGGGAGAGCCGCTGGTTGGGTGGTGGCATGGGGGAGGTGAGGTGGACGACGTTACGTTGACGTTGGTTTAGGGGGGTTCAATATTCAGGAGAGTCGCCTCGGAATGTGCCTAGGTAGGGGGGAGGTATTGAGTTGCTCCTAACCGGGTACCTTCGCTTTTGATTGTCCGTGGAATGCCATAACCTAAGCTGGAGCTCTCCTCCGCTACCTCGTCATGAGGTCCGCATTATTGACCAAGTATCCAGTTGACCAAGAAGATGACAAGTCCTTGCAACACAGAATAAAGGGCAGGTAGTAGCACAGTGGTCAGCGCGTTCACTAAACTCCCCCCAGCGTTGATTTTCAGGGCCGAGCATTGTTCGACGAGAGGCTTGGGTTCGGATCCCAGCCTGCCCAAACCCCTTTTTTGCTTCTACCATAATCCAGATTTTCGTCACCTACATTCCGAATCTGCGATTCAGAACCCATTCACGCAGATACTTTGCAATATTCGCTACGGTCTTTGTCGAGTCGAGCACATTCCACGGGACGATGTTGTGGTAACCCTGAGTCCGCGCCGTCATGTCCGTTAACACAGCCATCATGCCATCGTACGTCTTCAGCATTGGATGCATCTGACGCAACGTCGCCTCGGTCGCCGGGTCCCCAGGGACATCTAGCATGGTCATTTCCAGCAACAGAGATACCACACCAGCAGCAATGGGCGTAGCTACCGAGGTCCCCGTCATGCGGCGGACCGAAGCTGGGTTAGTAGGGTCGCCATGGCACGTCCAGGCGGCCTCAACATTCTTGCCGAGGATGCTCAAGCTGTTGCCGGGATCGGCCGATGGGTTGAAGTTACATGGCCTGCCGTCGGCATCGGCGGCGTGGATGGTGATAATACCGGTTCGAGACGCCGGATATGCTACGCCGCGCCGAGTGCCATGGTTGGACGCCGCTGCGAGAATGAGCTTGTCCGGGCGATGAGTCTCGTCGAGGGCGGCCTTGATAGCTTCGCTGAGGCGCGGGAACCCGAAAGAAAGCGAGAGGACGTCGACGTCCCAGTTGCCGTCGACATCCTTGGGACCGAGGGCTTTTCGGATAGCCTGGTGCATCAAACACGCCGAGGTCAGTAAAAGGGGTGAAGGGTCTGAGTGGGGACTCGCCTTGGCAACGACTTCCTCGTCAACGCCGCTGTCAAAGTCACACGCCACCCTTCCCACATAAATATCCGCCGCTGGTGCGACCCGGTTAACCAGTGACACACAGTGTGTCCCGTGTCCACAGGTATCGAGCCCGAATCCCTCTGGATCCAGAAAATCGACCCTTGCTTTGATTCGCCGCCGCACCTCCCTGTCGCTGAAGACCGCATTCCGCATGTCGACACCCGTGTCCAAGACGGCTACCCTGACTCTTCTTCCGTTTTGCCTGCGGAACTCGGCCAGGATATTTTCGTTGATGTCTTCAATGAAGGAGAACCACTCATCCACCCCACTGTCTGCGTCCTCGGCCGCTGCGAGGGTCCCGTCACAGACCCTGTCGCGAAGTCTATCTCGTGACACGGACCTCGATATTTTCTTGGTACGAGTCATCGTATCGGATTTGCTGCGTGCATGGCGTCTGACTGGGTTAGGGGGGAGCAGGCTGTTTGGAGCCGGAGAAGGTGGTTTGGTCGATGCTGAATCCTGGGCAGCGCGGGCCTGGAGTAACAGACCCCGCAGAAATGGCACGTTGCGAGTCTGCATTCGATCTTCTAACTTGAAGACGCTTATCGAGTCAGCCACAGCTCCTGTCGGAGCCGACGTGGCGGAGGTCGATTCGATAGCTTTGGCTAGCAAGGCTGTCTTTGTCCGCTCTGGTGTTTTGCGCTCACTGCTTTCGGCCTGAATGATAGCAGAATCACCCAGAGAAGTCCAAGATTTGATGAATTCGGATCCCATGGATTCGGAATACACAGCAGGCTGGCCGCGTGACACGAACTTCCGCTTTGGCTTGGTGATGGAGGCTGCAGATGTGGTTGCTGGAGTAGTCGTGGTCGCCTTTGGAGTGGTGACAGATGCTGAGAAAAAGCCCGCAACATTGCAGCCTTCACCCGCCCCAGCCCTCGCTGTCGCTGTATGTGGCTTTAGCCATTTGTATTCCAATTCCGGTAAAGGTGAGGCGGTTGAGCCGGCACCCTGCAAGTTGGGGCCGGCGCGCAGGCCTGCTGATGGGTTGGCGGGTGGGGCTGAAGAGGCCTTCATTTCGTCGGCTCCCTTCAGGGCCAATACTTCCGACGTACTGACTGGTCCGAAGATTTCATGGAGGGGCTTGTAGGGTGGTGGTGCGGTAGCGGCTGTGTTCAGTGCGCTGATGGATGGTGATGCTCGACGTCCATCACCCGCCGTGTTCAGGGTATTGATGAACGACGGAGTTCCCTGTATGGAGCTCACGGGCTTGCTCAACTGCAGGCTGTTGGCAACCTGGGCCGAGAGTTTGTCGAGTTCGGCGTTGGTAGCACGCGTCCGGGGATCTAGGGATCCGTACTTTCCTGTCTGGGCGCAAAGCAGTTTGTTGTACACCCTGGCGGCGGTGGCAGACTTCCCAGTCTTGGTAGCGACGAAGGCGTAGTCGCGCATCGTGTCGAAGGTCCGCTCGGCCTCGGGCTCCACGGCAGTTCTGACTGCATAGGCATCCTTGAGATGCTGAAATGCCTCGCGATACATATTCAGCTTGATCAGGACCCTTGCGAGCTCCTCTTGATGCCAGATGATCATCTCGTCGACCGGGTCGTTGGAAAGCCATGCTTTGCACCAGTCAAGATTCTGTTGCAAAAGCTGTACCGCCCTGGTGTAGTTCTGCGCCGCGATTGCCGTCTCTGCGCATGTCCTCCGGAATTCACATTCGGCGTAGCCGGGTACTGAGGCTCGGTCCACCACGGCTGCCGAGTGCACTGGCTTGTTGAGGAGGACGCCGATGCCCATCTTTTGACTCGGTGCTGCTTCTGCCATGAACTGAACGAGCGAGGACGTCTATTCCTCAGCTCAGCAGAGCTGAAACGCCTTTGCCGGCATGCGGGCTTTTCCGATCCGGAGGGGTTGCAGCTCGCAGGTCGAAAAGGGGCAATCTGACGATGTGATTCGCGACAAGGGGGAGGTCCGTGCCAAGCCACAGCGCTTGCTGTGGCCGAGAGTCTAGACCACCTGGACCTGCACCTCGAAGGAGCTGAAAACGATTTGGGATCATCGTCTTGCCCGCATCTTCGACCATGAAGAAAACATACTTCCTGGTCCCCACGCGGGACTTCTCCCCATCCGGGGCAATTGCCCTCGGAAATCTCATCAAGTCGCCTCGCTCGCCCGAATTCCCTCTGAATGACGCCAATTCCGCAACACTTCAAAAGCTATCCGCTTCAGCGATCACGATATCCGAAACTGATGCCCACCGTGAGACCAGCAGCGCATCGTCTCTCAAACCGACCATTTGGGCATACTTCCTTTCAGGCATCGGACCCGGAGTTGAGTTCAACTTGGACAAGACGAAGCAGGAGAACCTCTCCTACATCATCCCGCGCCTCTCAACCCGCGTGATCAACCCATCGTTGGCCGATATCGGCGCCATCTTTGCGGAGCGCCAAGTGCAAGACGCGATCCGAGACAGCAGGTTCGCGACCAATTTGTACCTCATTGTTGGAGTGCAGATCGCTCACGGCGCCGAGTATGTGCGCTCAAGGAAACGAGGGAGCGGGGTTGGTGCGAATGTTTCGGCGGATCTTGCGGCGGTAGAGGCGCCTGTCACGGCAGGATTAGGTGCAGAAGCGGCAAAGTCGAGGGAGGAAGCGGCCCACGGGAAGGTCGTTGATGATTTTGTTTTTGCATACAGTTTGCGGGAGGTGTTGTACAGGCGAAAGAAGGTGACTGAGCAGAGACAATCGAGGGTCGAGGGTGATCTTATGGGTCATGAACTGAGTGAAAAGTCGGCAACCAGCAGGGTCGTTGAACAAAAGTTTGAGGCTGAGTTTGTTGGCTTGAAGGATGGTGAGGATTTGGGAGAAAGCTGGGATTGGCCGACCCAGGCAGTGGCTGACGTTGATGGGACCGAATGTCAGGTTGTTCATGTTGAGGAGGAAAGTGACGAGGATCAGGAATAACTTTCGAGCGGAGTGGTTCCAATTGACACTTTTAAAATCTCATCCGGGCTGCCTGGTCTCCGCCTCAACAAACGAGCAGATTTTGCCCCACCTCCGACGAGGACAAGGCGTTCCTTCCACAATGCACACAATCTCTGCCGCCTGGAAAGACAAAGAACCAGCAAGACATGCTTTCCGCGTTCCTTGTCTTCAACCATCGACTTCAGGTGCAGATGTGGTCACTGTGTTTCCGTCGCGGCATCGCCCCGATCCGACTGCACGATGTCGACGTAAGTGCAAGTGGACACCAGCGGGATCATGCGCAGCTTTGACACAGTCTGGAGAGTTCGTGGGGCCTCAACAGCGCAGTCCCACCACACCATATCCACAAGAGGAGGCTGCAGTCAACCTCCGAATGAGAGTTGGTGTTGAATCGCCTGCGTTGCGTTGCGTGACTTGGCGTCGACGCGCTGGACCTTTGGCAGGGTAGAAATCCCGCACCAAATCACCAAAGCACTGCATCGACAGCAATACCTCTCACCTCACAGCCGTAGTTCGGCAGAGCAAGAACGCTAACTCGACCAACAGTGGCATCCTAAAACTTGGCTATTGCCGTCCGCCGCCTAGCGATTCGTACCACCGAGAAAATAGTGTACTCCCGAAGGATGGCGTGCTGTTGTTATCTGCAAGGGTCGAATGAGGCTCCCCGCGGCAGACACACGTCAATTTTAAGATGGGGGCCCCTGACGGTGATTTGTCGCTAAAGTCAACCTACTGCACCGCCCACGCCAAGAAGGTCGGCAAAGTCGGCAGCTGTCGGGGTCTTGCACCAACAATGCTAAGAACTGATAATCATGGAAGCAACATGCTTACAGGCTGGCGATGCTGCAACGCGGTGCCGGGCCTGGCTGGGCGAGCGGCATCCTCGCACTGGCCCCACACTCTCGCTCCCTATAATAGGGGCGCGTCGACAGAAAGATCATCTACGACTATAAAGTCCAAGACAGCTTCAGCTCTTTGACAACGGACAACACTGGGCCACCTCAACACCACATCAACATCTCCCCTGCTATCGCATTCTCTCTTCTTGGCAAGTCTCTCAAAATGGCCTCGGTCGATCCGTCCATCATCCTCCACCCCAACGACCTTTCCGCCGTCCCCTCCATCCTCGCCGCCATCCAAACCCACTCGACTCCCCTCCTTTCCCCCTCGCCCTCTCCAGCCTCCATTGAAGACGCCCGCCTCTCCCTCCTCCAATCTGCCCGTGCCCTCGTCCTCGCCCTCGAAAAACCCCGCGAGACCGTATGTG